TTTGTATATATACGTTGTTTTACATATTTTTTATATATTTTGAGTGTATATATATAAGTTCTGTTATAAGAGTATTAAGTATGCACATATTTATGTGCGGTACTTATTACAACATTTAATGTACTTACATAGAAATATTTTAACACGAAGTATATAGTATGCAGATATGTACATATGTATAATAAATATCGTCCACATCTGAAATGCAGTATAAATATTTTAAACCAATTTAGTTATCGTAGTGGAAAAAATTGCTGCACATTAAAAACAGATAATTTTACATTTTTAACTTCAATTTTGCACTTCAATTTCTTTGGAACACACGACAATGTAAAATGTCAAAAATAACATATTTAAATTTAAATTTATTATTACAAAAAATTCCGGTTGTTGTTCAAAGTTCATATTGCTACATACAAATTCGAATGAATTGATTTGAGCAATTTCATCAATAATTTTATACCCTTATTATGATCGGCGAAGCGAATGGCTAGGCGAGTCGAATGTACTAGGCGAATCAAATGCTTTCATTCACCAGATCCAAAATGTTGCTACCGCGAGACATCAAAAAACCTACCGAAAATAATAAGGTTAACACCACATATATGTACATTGTTTTTGCTTTTTGACAAAAGCAATTGAATTTTTCTTTCCTTAAGCAAATACGGGGTTGTTGTTCATTAATTTATTTAAATTTTTAAACGAATTGTTTTTGGTTCGTTTTTTTTCACTCTTAAATTAATATTAAACAATCAATATTTTTTACAATAATTTGTAGAATTTTCTGAACTTACTTTACAGATAGTTCAGATTGTTCCATTATATTACTATAAATTCTATAATATCCAATAAAAAAAACACTAATATATTAATTTGATTTTTATTTGCCAAGCTTGTCACACAGATACTTTCATTCGACAGATATGTCAGCTCATTCGCCAAAATATAGGTGAATTCTCTAAAAATAATACCAAAAAATCATATTCGCCAAAAATTTTATTCACCTAACCGATCATTATTTTAAAAAATTGCTTAAGTTTTTTTCCGTTGCGCTGTTTGCCTTTTATCTCAGCAATCAAAATCAAAATTATACATTTTTGACTTATTAAAAGTTGCAAAAATTTTTGTGTTGCATTTTGGATAATACTGTATGTGCATATATGTATATAAAAACTTAGAATTCTTATTATTATTGATATATATTAATTTGATCAACAATACCTTGACCAAAATTTCTTGTTTTTGATAATAACATTATCTGTTCTTTATTAAGTTTGTATACAAAAAGTTAAAAAAAAAATAAAAAGTGCAGACATAGGAAAAATTTCAATTCTATTCTAAGTAAAGTAAAAATATTTAATAAAAAAACTAAAAATACTTTACAGGTTTCATCAGAAAACAGATAAGTATAAAATTACGTACTATATTATGTATAACATAATTATAATATGCACATTCTACATTATTTAACAGAATAGGTACCAGTATATTTAAATTTTAAATAATCCTATAAAACAGTTTTATCATTTAAAATTAAATATTTATTTTGAGTTTAACCGCAGTGTTACCGTCTTATATTTTATTTACTCGTAAAATTCTACTATTTATAAGATTATGATGAGTATACTGCTAATTTATACTAAGAATTTAATTTAAATTCACAAAGCTGGTGAAATTTTATTTTTACAAGAAGCTTTAACATTAATTAGAATTATATTCTTGAAGGTTGGGAAATAGATATGTAATATTATGTTTAGTATGATGAGAGATACTGCCATTTTGTATAATAAGATCTGAATTACGTGCGTTGGGTATTTTGCTTTGAAATTCCATTTTTTTTGTATTTCCATAAATAACTTAGAACTAAAAGAAAAACGAGTTCATGCAAAATAGTTGTATAATAACTTGGGCTTATTTCCTAATAATTTGAGTTTGCCAAAAGGACTTAAACGTCATTTCTATATACGTTCTTTGATAGTTCATGCATTACTTAAATATTAAATCGGTGACAAATTAGGTACAAAGTTAGAACTAAATTATCCAAGCTTTATTAATAAAAGCTATTTACCGATTATTAAAATTTTACCGACTATTTATGCAATTCTTAATAATTATTTTAATTATAATATTAAAATGTTATTATTGCTCTTTTATGTGATACAAAAAACAGAGTCAAAAAATTTTACTGCTGCTAGAACAATAAGTTATAGCTTTTAAATTTTTTTCTTAATAAGATCCAAAAATGTTATACGGTTTATTGGACTGACGCATTCTGTATGCACATAATATTAATAAATAGTCAAAGAAATTAACTAGAAATATTTAATTAAAAAAAAAGATTATTATTAATTATATTGTTTTTAATTTTTGACACAAACGTCATTTTTCATTATGAGAAAATAATTACTTAACATAATTTATATTATTATCAACTTTACTACTATTATTATTTATGCAATTGCACATTCTTATGCATTATGTAGATTGAATTTTTAAAAGAATAATTAAAATGTTATAAATTTGTTCTAAATATATGAGAATGCAGATCCATAATTAAGATAATTTCATGTCATATCATGAAAAGAAAATAATTTGATTTTAAAATTTATTAAAATTTTTTTTTCAGTTTTTAAAAATTATTTGAAATAATAGCACAAAAAATTAGAAGTGATTGATAGAAAATAAATTAATTCATATAATGTAAGTACGTTAATTTATTACGGATTTTGATCGAACAGTATAACAGTTATAATTAATAACCATTATCATGATACCTCAAGCTCTTTTAAGTAAATTTTAGAAAGAAAATTTTATTATATTTGTTAATGTATCTTTTTTATTAATGAAACAAAATCCATGCATATTTTGATACGGATCTGATGATTGACAAAAGGGCTTGTCACTCAATTGTCACCGAGGTTATGACTTTTGTTTTTTTGATTTACTAAATTTGTTGTACAAATATTTTTTTAATACTTCAATTTGCAATTAATTGAAAATATTTACATATGTACTTATGGTTTGTAAATCATTTGCCCACACATACGTGCAAATGACAAGCAGAATATAACATGTAAATGAAAAATTTAAAGTATTTTTTTTAAAATCTAAATTTTGCGGATAATAATGTTAAAATTTAAATAATTGAAATGCGAAAATAAAATAAAATAACTTAAATTATAATATTTTAGTAGGTCGAATTCTAATCGGGCTTATAAGATATTATGAAGTAATAATAACATAGAATTAATTAAGAACGCCAAGCAATATTTTATTAATATGCATATATATTTATTAATTTTAATATATGAATGTAAGTAATATTAAATATTATTCAAGTTCTATGTTGCTGGTATTTTTTAACGATTTCAACATTAAGAAAAGCTCATTAAAATACCTATGTATAAATAATTTTTATGAATTGAATTTTATAATTTAAAAGAAATAAGTTTTTGACTTCGAAGCTACAGAGCATTTTTTAAAATTATTCAAGAACTCAATGATAAAATAATATTGACTTCCTTTTAATAATATTGACTTCCTTTTAATAATATTGTTTTCATATGCAACATATGAATATAGAAAATATTTGTTTAAATATAGAAAATTTTATTTATTAAAATTTTGTAATATTTTGGCATATTTCCAAAAATGTATTGGAAAATTTCTGCTAGTAGTTATAATTTGTCTATTCGTATGTTTACAAAACTTCTACACCGTTTAATATAGAAAATCAAATTTTCTATACAAATATAGAATCTCGGTGAAGGCATTTTTCAAGTTATAGAACTTCAGAATCATTAAAGTGTAAGATTTTTATAAATAACAATCCCCAAACTAAAATTATTCTAAAAATTCGGTAAAACAGGAATAAATCATTTCACTTGTCATAATAAAATATAAACAAATTTAAAGTTTTCAAAATTACCCCTTGAATTAACTGTTACCTAAAATTATTTTTTAGATAATTTTTAAACTGATTTTGCTCCTAGACAACTCGAATCAATTTCAAATTATAATCTTTTATAAATATCAATAAATAGCGGTGTTATTTTGTTTTTAAGTCCCTTCTCTTTCAAATTATTACTCCGTACAGTATGCAAAATTTTAATTTTCGGTCTCATATTTCTTTCGAAGCTCTTTAAAAGCTGAAATATAATAGTAATCGTTCATTTACCCAATATGTACCAAATCATAAGCAATAAATTTCAAACTTCAAGTTAGCCTACATTTTTCGAGAGTTTTACTTAAAATCAAAGTTGTATAAATAGCAGTTCTAGATTTATGATGTTAAAGAGAAATGTGCTATTATACAAATCATAAATTTGATGACTGGTTTTCTTAATTTGAAGAAACTCGCCTTATCTTCAATTTATATACGAATTAAATATTAGTATAACAGTTAAAACAAATAACACACCCAAATATTTTTTAGAGTTTTTTTGGAATAAACTTGAGCAAAATTCAAAATAAAAAATATTCAATTGATGACATTGAAATCAAATAGGATGCATGAACGTCAAGTACAACATTTCAATTAATGAAATTGAGAGTGAAATATGATAACTGCCCATTATCGAATAAGTTCATTCATTTTTTACGCAATTAATTCCATTTATCAATTAAATTTTTAACACCAATCAGTACTTTACAAATTTAATAATTAATAATACAATGATTTCAATAAGCTCACTACCTGGGTCTATCTAAGTACAAATTTGTTTTGTTTTTTTTTAAATGGCCATTATAATCGTTAATGCTCTTATCACTTAATTAAATCATAGTAATTAAATAACAATGGTATATAACAGGTATAAAATTGTTATATTGATTTTTATCAACATTTAATTTATATTGTTCGTTGCATGTTTACTCCTATGTTTTAAAATTGTTTTTTACATATATTTTTTGCTATTATTTTTATTTGTTCTTTGAAAATTAAATATTCGCAGTGTTGTATGTAAAAAATTTGTTATTTTTTTTTCAATTTTTTCTTTTACCTTATGAAATTCAACTTTAGCACCATCAGCAATGCCTTCTAATTCACGAATATATTGTGGAAATGACTTTTTAACAGTATCCAAGGTTTGATCGTAAGCTTCCTCTGAAATTTTCATGTTAAAACATTATTAAAATATTAACTTACATTTTATAATTAAGTTTTGTGTTTGTTTTTTTTTTAAATCATTACTATTGTCATGTTTAATATTCATTTATAAATTCAAAAAAAATATAATAATTTAATTTTGTTTACTTACTTCCTTTTGGTGTTTCATATAATGGTAAATATTCTTTATTTAAAGGTTCAAATATATCAACAAAATTATTGATTATAGATGCAAATGTTCGACCCTGAAAATATGAAAATTATTCTTGTTTAACTAAAGGAATTGGATCTTATTTAAAAATTTGTTTTATATATGAAAATATTCAATTAGTAATTCTGCATTTTTTTCAGATCTGAGTTTGTTGTATTTTATATGAGGCGTTCAGCGCATTAGTAGTCTATTCAACGTTTTTGCAAAAATTCGAGTTATGTTGTTCAATAGAACTGTAATGGCCTAAAGAATTATTTTATATTTTTAAAATACTTAGCTTACTCCTCTTTTTATTCTATTTTAATATAAGTTCGTTTTTGCTTTTAAAAATTTTCTTTCAATTCCAATTTACTCGAAATGTCATTTTTACAAGTAGGCCACTAATGCGCTGAGCGCCCCATATATGAGATCATTGTATTTTATATACGAGTGTTTTTATTATTTTAAAGTAAGAATATATTAATACCAGCGTAATGCCAATTTGAAATTAAAGCTTTAGGAATTAAAATTTTGATTATCAATATTAAGACTCGCTAAAACCCTTTAAATTTGAAGACATGTTTGAGGAAAATAATTGAAAATTTTCATAGAATATTATTAAAGGTAAATACAGAATAATTTCTCAGAAATTTTATTTTATATACTCGTACTTGTAAGTCGTACATAATTGAAATTTCTTGTCATAAATCTTTAACGACCGAAATATAACAAATTTACTATATAATAATATGTTTGTATTAATTAACAAAAGCTTTATTTTATTACAAAAAATTTAACGACATTTTGCATTATTCATTTTTTTTTTAATTATTTTGGAAGTCGCAGTGTTAAATAAAGTTGTTTGTGGAAACAAGTTTTTTCACATTTTAGTTTTCTACAAAACAAAAAATTTAGTTTGAGTATTTATTCGAGTGTAATTAAAACAATTACGGCGGACAGTTTTCTAATAGATCTAAATTTTTAAAACACCACTGCCGTGAATTTGTATTAATTGAAGCAAGAATTATAGTCAAAATAAAAAGTAAGGAGATCTTTTAATAATTTAGAGCATTTAAACATTCTTAAAACATTTAAGAGCGCAATATGTCAAGTGACGCTTCTTGTTTATATAATAAAAAAAGCTTTGTTTACGTGATGAGTTTTGCATCAATGATTGAAATATGTTTGATTCCGCTCGCCGAAAAATATTGTAGAAAACCGTAGCCATAGGCAATGATCAATAATTTTGTAGCACACGTAGCACGGATTCCAATTTAATTTTCAAAATTGTATTCTGTATTTTTTTATTTCTAAATCGGTATTGCAGTGCGAAATTGCAGCATGACTATAGTACTTAGGTGTAGTATAACAAAAAATTGGCTTTTTCGCATGTGTGTTCCATGCGTGTGATTTAAAAATGAAATTGACAAACAACTTTATAAATAAAAATTATTATTTTGTTGGTTTTAAACATAAAGTAAATTTTTATTTGATTCTTAATAAATAATGTTTACCATAAATCTCATTAACCAATTTATATGCAGCTATATGATGTAACAGACAAAATTAAATCTCTTAAATCTGTGACTCATTATTATATTCGTATACGAACTTATATTCGAAGGGTATCACAAATTTGCCACTCTAATTGCAATGACTCATGTATTATATATATACTCATGTATTTATATATATATATATATATATATATATATTTAACATCAACTTCTGAGTCGATTAATCCATGGCGGTCTGTTTACCAGTCCTTTCGTTCTATAGCGATACCTCAAAAACTAATTATGTTATGTTATGTTCATCGGTTTGAGTAGTTGTGATACAACTTTAAATATTATTTGGTCACATCTTAAAAACCGTTAAACCTATAATACTGAAACGAATTCAGTAAGAAACGTGACCATTATTTAAAAGATATTGTGTAAGTTTATTCGGCAGTTGTCGAATATTTATAAAAAAGCCAGGCATAAAAAATAAAAAAATAATAATGTTTATGAACTTGTGTGGATATCATAGAGTTGACAAGGTCAACTATATACCAATTCTTGTTTTGTTTTGAAAACTTAATTTGTGATGATGTGATAAGAAGTTCATTGTTTATTATGACTTAAGCACGTGTAATTCTATATTGAATTATTAATTACATAATCTCAATAAATCTGAAGGAAAAACAACAAAATCTTATTCCGATGACATCAAAGATTCTTTAATTATTGTATTCACTTTTATTTATTTTTGTATTTATTGGATCTGAAATATAAGTAGCTATGTGTGTATTTGAGAAATGAGCACTTTTTATAACCCAAATTATAATTTGTTATAAACTAGAATTAAATAACGATTCTAGTTCTGCTAGAAACTCTTTTTTTTTTTTTTTTTTAGAAAAATAGCAAAGTAGCAAAATCGATGTTTTTTTTCTGTTTCTTTAAAGAGCTTTTCATATATAAGAGGTTAATCCAATTAAAATATAGTATTGAAATGTTAAATAAAAGCTTAAGAGAATAAATGAATGTTTGATATTTTATGCTAATTTGACATATATTTAAATGTACTTACAAACATACATATATCAGTATGCGACACGAATGTGTCAATATACAGTTTTTTATGCTAATGAAGTTAAAGTACGTTGATCTTTAAGTTTAGATAACAAAATACTTTCCGCTCTTGTTTTCGTTTCATGTATTCTCACATTGTTGTATACATCTATACTTTCTGTATTTTATTTTTACATTGGATAATAAATAACAAATTGTTTTATCAAAATGTAAATAAGTATGTATACTTTTAATGTAATTAGTCATTTAATTAAGAGATTAAATTATTTGATTGTGCAAAAGAAGACAAAAGAAAAGAGGATAAGACAATAAAACTACGTTTACAACAATAATCAAGTTGATATAACAGATTCTAAATGTAAGGCTTAAATTTAATTCTAATGCATTGAAGAGTTTGTCGGGTGAAAGCTAAACCTACACCTCATCATTGAGTACACGATTTTTGAAAATCGAGTTAAACGCTCCAAAAAACTCACTGAGTTTTCCTAAAAATCTTTAAGTTTTCTTTTTTTAAATTCATACATAGTATTTAACGATTTGACAAATTTAGAAATCTAACTCACGAATTTTTCGTGATTTTGAAAATATTATTTAATGATTTTTTACCCATTTAATTAGTAAAAGCACCTTATAAAGAAAAATTTTATTTATATATCAATCAAACATATTCCACAAATATAACCATATAATCATCGGTTAAAAAGCAGAAAGCATTAAGCCCTAAAACTGTGTTTTGAGTAAATTCAATTTGAAATAATCGTAAAATTGTAAAACTAATCAATTAGTGTAATGGGATTGGTCTTTTTAATTTCTGGATTTATAAACTACATTCTGGATTTGCAAGATTTTTTTGCCACAACAAAGATTATATTATTCTGATTTAATTCATCTATGAAATCTGAATTCTCAAAATATGCACTTAGTGCTTTCTGCTTTTTAACCGACGATATGTATATTGTATACAATATGTTAATTTCAAAGAGCCTTTTTGTAGTTGAAAATGTATTATATTAAGGAGATTGTTTAATTATTTAATTAAATTTCATAAAAACCTTAACATTTCTTATTAATTAATTGTTCAAATTGGAGTCAAAAAGTACTAATTAATCGTTCTATGAAAATTAATTAATTTATTTAAAGTACCTATACTATAGTAATGTTAGCAGTTGCTTGGTCTTTATGAAAAACTCATTGCACATTAAGTCGAATATAATATAAGTACATACTTGAAAAATTGTCACAAATTTTAGGCTTTTAATCTGGATAAAACTTGCTGTTGCCATATTATAAAAATCATTCTTTATGTACAATGTTCTTAATATGCAAGAGTTAGTTTGTTATACTTATTCTTAAATAATTGTTCTTAAATTGACCTCGTGATTAGTTTTCATTTGATATATTATAAAAAAAAACTTTTTGAATTTTTTCACTTCATAAGTATGTATTAGTATGGCATGTACAATGCAGAATATGCACATACATAAAGAGTAAAATTCATAAAATATAACATTAATTATTTTTTAAGAACTGATAAAAACTAATTTACATAATTTCTTAATAAAACCTTTTACTTTTTAATTTTATTAATTTGATTTTTTTTTTAATTGTGTACAATATGCACATACGTTCATACATATTTGTATAAGTATTTAAGTGCATGTGTTAGTAATATTAATATATTATTATATATACAGTTTCGAATTTATTGCATTGCGGTTTATTAAATTTGAACAAGGAAAATTTAAAAACAAAATCTGATGGAACAAAGAAATTGAGTACATTTGGAATTCAAAAAAAAACTCAATGCTGAATTGGGTTCAAGTAACTTATCACGTACTACTTGCTTATGCTGGTTAAAATTGTGCCTGACAAGTCAAGTCAAAAAAGCCCTTATGATACAAGACGTTAGAAGAAAAATGTTTAAAGAAAATTTGAGATTGATTAAGAACAAAATAATATATATTTTTTAAATCTACGTTTGACCTTCAGCAAAAATATTTACATATATAATTATTTTCAAAGCACCTAATCGCACTTAAAATTCCGAAATATTCTAAATAATTATTTTAAGGAATACTTATAAATATTCAATTGAAAGACTACTTTGAGGAAAAAACTATAAATGAGAAACCACAAAATCTTTGAGATTATAAAAAAATAACCTCCCCTATTGTATTCAATGCGGTCGGTAATTAGTTTTATGAATTTAAAGCAAGAAAAATTTTCAAAGAATTTCAATTTTCAATTCAAAGAACTAACAGTAATTATTCGAGTGTCATATACATTCATAATTACTTTTCGGCAGCATATATCCGGTATAATCACTGCTTTTTCACTTAAAAAATTATAAATATGTGTGGTTAATATCGATAAACTGTAATTAACTCTAAGTAAACATTTAAAATGTAAGGCAAATTAAAATTGCCGATACCCCTACAGTATAATTTATGTAGATAATTTTCTTTAAAATCTATATAAAAAT